ATAATTACTTATATCGGCCTTACTTCAAATTTTGCATCTCCGACAAGAGGTCCCTTTTACTTTCCACATCACATTAATTCTTTCACCCATCATTCGTAGTTGATTTTTATAACTTTTCCTGATTTGCCTGCAATTTTTTTGGAAATATTGAAAACATTTCTGAGATGCTGAGTGTGTTTTTGGATTTGTAGTTTTAATGTTGGATGCTGGCTGCTATTTGACTTGTAGCTAGACCATGTCATAGATATTTTCAAAAAATGTTGCAAGTTACATATCTAACTCACTTTTACTTCAGTGTGTTAAGTATTGATAATTAATGACAAAATGTAACTCTTTTTTTCGTTAAATCTTATTTACAACTTGTTGACACCATGATGACCTGAAAGTTCTGATTAAGATCTGATGAAAATGATCTACTTACTCTTGAACTCTCTCTCTGAGTGTTAAAAAGATGTATTTCCACAAAGAAGAATGTTTGCTAATGTAAAATAAGCAGCTTGAAATCAGTATTTTTGTATTGCTCTTGACATAGAGTGGTGTAGGGATAACTTTTGGGACTGGAGTATTGGAATAACTTGTTAAGTGTGCATTGTTACTAGGCCTACATAGCAATCTCAGAACTGCAACCTTAGACTTATAATCACGATAAATATTCAAATACCCCCGCCGCAGCAAACCTGCAGACTTAGCGAATTTCCATTTGCCTGATTGGATTTAAACTAAAATGTCTCCTTAAAAATATCACATTTATTGACTATTTAAACAGAATTAGTTTAATGAGTACTTAGATTTGCTGCAACAGGGAGGGTAAAAAGTTTTCTTTTATGTAAAATGTTAAAAGGTACTGTGGTTTAGTAAGAAATTAATGTATTTTCAAAATTTGATCAAGATATGTTCATAAACAAGCAAACTACAACAGTTGAACATAGGAATACAAGGAATACTACAACCATAAGAATAACATGGGAATTTTAAAATTGCAATTTTTTTGAATTTTCTCCGTAACAATTAGGCGCATAATAACGCTTCAATATACTAAATTATTTGTTTTTTTAACTTCTACAAAATGGTTTAAAAAGAAATTGTGAAATTTTGTGTTTTTAGGGTCAAAAATGGGAAAAACCTATTTTTACCCCATAAAACCCCCCATAAACCCCCGTTCCCATAGTCCGATCATGCTGGTTTGCGAACTCATTCAAGTTTATCCCGCCTTACACCTTCAAAACAAATTTTATCAAAATCGGACAAAAATTACTCAAGTTATCGTGCGGATGGACACATATATATATATATATATATATATATATATCTCTATATAGATATAGATATATAAAAATTTAAACGAATGGTGTTTTTGGCCTCTGGGGACATCAAAATGAAAAAGTAAATCGGTCCCGGGCTTAAGTCTTACCATGAGACCTACGGTAATAGCTACTTCCCTATAGGGAAATTCGCTAAAAGAACCTCTTAATCACATAATTAAGACAGCAACACTTTTTCTCTACATATTTCAAATGGAATTCCACGAGTCTGCTCGTGGCGTGCCTCAGGGGTCAGTCCTCGGTCCGGTGTTGTTCCTTGTCTTTGTGAATGATCTTCCATCAATTGTAAATTCTGGAAACATTTGTCTATTTGCTGATGACACGTCGCTCTCGGTTTCTGATCAAAATTTCGATGAACTCGAAATAAAGGCCTTTTTGCAAGCGAGCTCTATGATGCAGTGGTTCGAGGACAACTCATTGAGTCTAAATGCCAGAAAAACTGAATTTGTAAATTTTTCTATAAGTTCAGCTGGGAAAAACAAAAACAATTTCCTTTTGAATGATGTTGTGCTCGAGGCAGCTGATCAGGTTAAGTTCTTGGGATTGGTGCTCGATAGAAACCTGCGCTTTCATTCCCATATTGACACTGTGTGTAGAAGGATTTCTTCGGGAATCTTTCTTCTCCGCCAACTTTCTAAGTTTGCAAAATGTGATGTTCTAATTACAGCATATTATGGAGTGATTTTCCCGCACCTGATATACGCAGTGCCGGTGTGGGGGTGTGAGTGTGGGAAAACGTCTTTCCTATTCCGACTCCAGAAGAGGGCAGTTAGGGCAGTCTTTGGTTTGAAAAGAAGAACATCTTGCAGGCAATACTTTATTTCATCACAAATTTTAACATTTCCCTCAATATACATTTTGGAAACTTTGATTCTCATTAAAAAAAACTTACACCAATACCAATCTTCACTTACACATTCCTATTCACTACGTAACAACTCCCATCTTAAATTACCATCTCATTCAACTACATTTTTCAAGAGACACTTTCATTACAATGGCATTAAACTTTTTAATCTCCTCCCTCCCTCCCTTCAGCTGGAGTCGGACTTGAACAGCTTTAAAAAGCAAATCAAAAAAATACTCTTGGCCAAGGGTTACTACAGTGTTCGAGATTGTGTCGCTGATGGGTTTAGCTAGTTAGTTTTTTTTGTTGTTGTAAGAAGTAATTGATATTGTTTTATTGAAGCAACATTGTCTATTGTTTATTTTAATTTTAGTTCTATTATTTGACATGACCAATGCAAATTTTGTATCTGTTATTTTGGTTCAATAAATGAGTTATGAGTTATGAGTTATGAATATGAATGCAGAGGGAGTGAAGAATAAAGTAAGACGTTCATCTCACTTTATTTTTAGCTTTGTTGCTGACTAGCATAAGCTGTTTATTTCAAATTCAAATATATTTATTTATGATAATACAAAATCTTGGCCTCGCCAACTTTACAAAACTTGTCGGGGAGGTCCAATTGATTTACAAAAATTAACAAACAAAATTTACATTTTTTCTAGGGATGGTCAAGTCTCAAAATTTCGGGAAATTTTAAATCTCGTTACACGAGACAAGATTTCTTTTTGGCCGAGATTTTTATCAAAACAAGAATAAAAAAAAAAAAAAAAAAAAAAAAAAAAAAAATTAAAAACGCCTGTAGAAAGTCAATGCAACACCCGCAATACAGGAGCGTGTTGTAGTTGCGTTTCCTTTGCGAAGGCGTTCTTATTTAATTAATTCTTTAAATGTAAATATTACTTTAATTATTTAAATAATATTACTTTAATAACATTTGAGAAGTTTTGTTAAGTGTAAGCAGTGTGAGGAATGTTTTATTACTATAAAAAGTCAAAACAAGTAGGCTAACTATTTTATAAAAATTAATATTGCTTTTATTTTATGATTTATTTTATTTTAGGATAAGTTGAACTCTATCCTAACTGATATCACTATGTTTTCTAATCGTAGGCATTTTTAATACCGGTAAGTTAGGCGTGATTAATACAAAAATGTTGTAAATATTCTTGCCTATTATCATTATTTTTGTATTTAAACAGTCATCTAACAATGTTACAAAATCAGGTAAAAATTTTGAACGTGTATTTCCCGTTGTGTATGAGAAGGGAAATCCCGTCTCGATCTCGTCTCGAAATTTTATGAGAAATAAAAAATCTCGTCTTATCTCGTCTCGAACTAAAAATCCAATCTCGTCCATCCCTAATTTTTTCCCTTTTTTCTTTTTAACAAAAATAAACTTTTCTAGTGCTACTAATTCCATGGCGGTTTGTGGTAGGCACCTGTCTATACATACAGGGGGGTCTATACAACTTTAGACATAAGCTTTATTATTTTGATTTTTAGCCCAATTTTCAGGGACTGCTGGGTTTACTTTTAGTGACGGCAAGGTTTTAGTGTAAAAGATATTAGTTTTTCAAAAGTGTTTGGTAATGTGAAGTTTATACACAGAGAAGTAAGCTACAGTGGAAACAAGCTTATGGGACTGTGCGCTTTCAACTCTGGTATGTTTGGGCGGAAATATACTGTACCCTTGACGAGCAGAGAAGAGCCCGAACATTCTGCACTGTGCAGAAATACCTATCGTACAGGGCACAGGGTCTTCCTCCACCATGAGCGTTGTGTGTAGTATATGGCGAGCTAGTGGTGCGGGATTTTACCCAAGACAACCACTTAAGTGTACTTGGGAATATATCCTCTGTTCCTTGCTTCTCTGTGCTTATACATAAATAAAATATAAGTAGGGTAGCCTAATCTAGCCCTTTTGCAGCTTCATACTATAAAAGTAAACTAGCTTGCTATTTTTATTAAAAATCTCAAACTTAAGTTAAATCACCAACAGAATGATGATTTTCATTAGTCTGATGTGCACTTGAAGAAAACATGTACTTACTCTTGAACTCTCTCGCTGACTGTTGGTTTTTATCGATTTTCTTGTAAAAGTGTTCACACTTTTTAGGAGACCAGCAAGTAACTCCAACTACTTTCAAAGATCAATTAAAGTTCTACAAATCTGATGTGTTAAAATACATTAAATTTAAAGATTAAGAATAATGAAATAAAAACAAGTCTTAATTCCTTTGACTGTTAAATAGTGATTTTTTTTTAAAGGAATACAGTTCAGCTAACTTATCTGAGAGATTTAATAAGAGTCCGTGGGATAATCTACAATAAAAGAACACAAATCACAACACTGATATTTTGTCCTGATGTAGGAATTCTTCAGAGAGAAATTCTCTTTAAACTACACTTTGAAGAAAGTTCACATCAGAACCAAATATCAGTGTTGTGTTTTGCGTTCTTTTGTTTTGTGCGTATCTATTAGACACTGGACTCAGGTGGTAAGCTAGCTGAACTTTATTCCTTTTCAAAATAATTCCTCACTATAATAAGCCAATTGGCTATCATTTAAAATATAAATAGTGACATAGAGTGTTTATTTATCTTAAAAGTTTTGGTTTCAAGATAAAAATGTCTAGTTTTGCCCATTACTAAATTATACAAGATATTAGTTGCTGGACTCAAATTTTCTTAGGTAAGCTAAATTGACTCTATCCCTTATCCTATTTATTTTCAGCCATTCATTTGTTAAAATTTAAACAGATCCAAGTAAAATAAAATTTCTGACACTGTTTGCATAGGTTATTGATGACGGATTTTTGTGCCCACAGACATACAGAGAGCATCTGGAAGGTCAGAAACACAAGAAGAAGGAGAGTAGCTTGGCTGGCAGTGGACCTGCTCCTCCACGAGGTGGTACCTCACTGAGGTGTGAACTGTGTGATATCACGTGTACAGGCACTGACGCCTACACTGCCCACATCAGAGGTGCCAAGCATCAGAAGGTAGGCTTTCTTTAGCTCCTAACTTATCACAGCCCCAACATAGTATTTGACCTTGCCAATGTCTGCCTCCTTGTCCTCCACATCTTCTTGTAAAAAAACCCTAACTCTCATCTTGGTCTTTCCACCTCTTCTTTGGACATCCAGTATGTATCTTTCCTTCCAGGTTTTTATCTGATATAACCTAACTAGATAGGGTAAAACGCATCATATTTAAAAAAAAAATCTTATTTAGCTTGTGTGCCATTGCGAAACGGTATGCATTTGCTACTTCTGCCTGTTTGGATTGAAATGTAGAAATGGACGGGTCTCGAAATTTCCAGAAATTTTTGGGGAAATTTTAAATCTTGTTCTACAAGACAAGATTTTACTTTAATCGAGATTTTTTTGAGACAAGATAAAAAAAACCCCCTGCAGAAAGTTGTTGCAATACGGGAGCGCGTTGATGTTGCGTTTCCTTCCCAAAGGCTTTTTTAATTAATACATTTTTGTCATGTAAATATTGCTTTATTTGTTGTATGATTTCAAAACGGTTTTATTAGCTTGTTTTCTCGTCTGTTTGGTACAAATTTTGCAATCGATTTTGAACTAACTTCCTGATGGGCTTAGAGACTTGAAACTTTAACATATCTCACAAATGGATGACAATACAATGTTAAATAATTTTATTTTCATTTTTCTCTTGGGCTATGCCCCATGGGCTTTCAAATTTTCAATGTTTACATTTTGGAAGAAGGTAAATAGTCAATTATATAAATTAAAGTCAGCTATACTTTACTGATTTTTCCTTTAATTTGACAGTTTGTCCAAAGAGCAGAGGTTGAGAGGTACAGATGATGATGATGATGACATTTCTGTAATCGCGGAACACAACGATGATGTCTACACGGCCGCGGGAAATGTACTTGATTTTGCCACCATCGCAGATGACGACGATGACGTTTCCTTGACCGCGGGAGCCAATGGTGATGTCTACATGGTCGCGAGAAATGATCATAATTTTGCCGCGATTGCGGACGACGAAGATGACGTTTCCGTGACCGCAGGAGGCGACGATGATGTCTACACGGCCGTGAGAAATGCTCATGATTTTGCCGCGATCGCGGATGACGACGATGATGATGTTTCTGCGACTGCGGCAGTCAATGATGATGTCTACACCACTGCGGTAGATTTCATGATTTAAAAAAACCCCCCTAATTGGCTAGTTAAAATTTTTCATTGCTGCATTTTGTCTTTACTTCAAAAATATTATCATAGTAATACTTTGTGACATAAGACGGGATGTGTGTAGTACAACCAAATTTAGAAAATTTGGTTGAACTATAAATAAAAAATGGTATCGGTATCAAGAAACGAGAATTGATACATTTTGGTATCGACACTCACTATTTGTTGAAAAAAACTAGTCTTTAAAAAATCTTGAATTAGTCTCGAATTTTAAAATGGAAATAAACTAGACACCCTGTCTCTAAGTGATTCAACCCACCTTAATAACGTATTTCGGCTTTAGAACTGAATCATTTCTATCGATATTGAAGTGATGACAAAAATCCCCTGTGTTCAAATTACAGACCCATTATTTGAAACTTAAAAATTATCGTATGCAAAAATATGGTGATTAATTGTCCACAGATCCATTGTAACTCAATTGGTAGGCTACACTGAAGAAGGAAACCTAACCTCAATCTCCCTAGCCCGTGTAGCAATGGAGAGCTGTTGCAAATTCAAATTCAAATTCAAATTCAAATAGTTTATTGCCATTAAGTATACATGTCATACAATAGGCCAGGTCAATGGAGATAATATACAATTCAAAGTACAATGTACAGAGTCAAGTGTAAATAGATGAACATATTATACTAATAAACTAATAATACTGGGTTTTTGTACAAAACTATTTGAGATGTATTGATAATGATGATAATAATACTGTTTATAGTTAAACAAACAAGTTGGGTAAGTGCCTATAACAAAATAATTAAGGCTAAAATTGGCAGTGAGATACAGCTTAAAACTAAATAACAATAAATTTTTAAATAAAGTTCACAGAAATAACATTATTATGAAAGACTATTATATCACAGTTCATGAAACCATTATTACATACTTTAGAAACAATACCCTACTTAACAATTAGAATTTTACAGAAAATCATCATGTTTGAAAGATAAAAATTCCTCGATAGAGTAGATAACCTTTCTGTTCAAAAAATCGGTCAATACATTTTTCAGTGACTTAATAGGCAAGTTGCGTACATTTTCAGGGAGGGCATTGAAAAGTTTAAGTTGTAAATATTTATAGCTGCGCTGTGTTGAGGCCAGTCTTAATGATGGTAACTCTAAATTATTCCTTAGTCTGGTGTAATGATTGTGAGTTAATGTTAATTATAATTCGTCCTGTTCCCGTTAGACACCCTGTATATCGATATATAAGTTAAACACATAATGTTGTGCTCTTTAACTGTTAAATTTTTGAAATATGGTCTTCATAATAATGCTAAAGATAATGCTAATACAAAATAGAGAAAATTAAGTGGTTATTTAAATTGCGTTTCAGGTAGTTAAACTACACACAAAGTTGGGCAAGCCGATTCCACAACCAGATCCCAAGGGACTCCCTAAAGCAGCGACCACCGGAACTACAGCTTCCAAGACCGTCACTACAAACACCACCACTGGCGCAGGTGTCAAGAAAACAGTCATATCCACACCTAAAATTAATTTTGTAGCATGTGAGTTGCGACTGTTACTCAACTGTTGCGTCATCTGCACTGTCATATTCCATACACTCCTTAAACTCTCTTTGACACTGATCACACCTCTTGGAGCGCAAGGCCTTGATAATTGGGTTTATAATTAGTTAATCACAATTCTTGTGCCTTGCAGCACAAACTACTTTTGTTAATGCTTTAAGTGTTTTTATTTGATTTAGTTTTTTATTACATTTTCAAAGGGATACATTTAACTGGAGGTATTTTGCAACTCTTTTAAAAAAATAATTTCAATTTACATACATTTTGAAAGCCCTTGTTTTTACTTTTTTAATTACTTTAGACTTCATATATTGGGGAAGATAATCTGAAATAAAAAAAAAATATATAATGATGAGCGATTAAGATAGAAATGTTTACCAATTAAGGTTTAGCTATTTATAAATAATTAATTTATTTACAGTGGACTATGATAGTGCAGCCTAAACTATATAGGCCCTATGCAAAAATCAGTATTTTAGTCTTTGCTAGCTACTTAGTAGACCAGGCAAAGTAACTTATTATAACTTGAGGATTGATGAAATATAACTTACTTGTACGTAATTTTCTCATTTAAAACTGGTACATTGCTGGTGTTTTTAGTTTTTTTGCAAGGACCTGATATTAAAATATTGTAGCCCTTTGTTTAAAAAATTAACATTTTTTCTATGGAACTGAGGATTGTTGATTTATAATAAAAAAAAAGAAACAACTGGGGTCTACATTAAATTTAAAATTTTTAGTTGCATCTTTTGGTTTAGTAACTCCAAGCCACCAATAGTTCAGTTAGTTAGTTTCAAATTAAATTCCATAAGTTTGTTTAGTACAAAATAGCTTTTTGTACTAATTATTTAATTTGTTGTTCAAAGTCAAAACATTCCTTTAATCGATACAGTGTTGTATGTACAATGTTGCACAGAATTAATTACAGCTACCCTAAGTAAATACATACTATTGTTGGTAGGTCTAAGCCTTTAGCTCTTATCTAACCTTTGTATTTTTAGACCAAAAGAATACAAAGATTACTTTATATTTCTTTTCAACGAAACCATGATTAAAGCATTACTTGGAATTCAAATCTATATAACTAATACGCCAACACGAAATTTGTCGGTTGAACTCCTCCAGCATTTCTTAACCGATTTTATCCATTGACGTCTCATTGGAAAGAGCGTGTCGCGTAGATTTGCAAACTGACCTTACATTTTTGAAAAAGACCCTTGGGCTCTGCCCCGGTGGCTTTTAAAGTTACCATGTTATCCTTATGAAGAACGTATTTGTTTACATTATAATCAGCTGGATTTGTAATTGTTGTTAATATTTAAGCTGCAATGCAAAGAAATGCGTCCTACAAAAATTAAATCTTTAAAAATTAAATCATTATATAAACCCATTTGCAAATTATGGAAACATAAAAAGTCATAAAACACCACCGAGTAGAAGAAATAGAGATACAGTCATACATACAGAGTCCCGTTAGTCCGAAATGGTTGGGACCGGACCCATTTCGGATTACTAAATATTTAGGATTAAACGTGTTTTTTTTGTTTTTTTTTTTTATTTTTTAAATATATATAAAAAATAAATTGTGTTAAGGACGCTAGGCACGAGCCGGGGATTGTTTTTCACATTACTTTAGGCTAGAATTAGGGGCTGCAGCATTATCACTTAAATAAAATCCATTTGTGATTTGGCGGGATTGGAACCCAGGACAAAAATGAAAAAATGTTAATTAAAAAAAAAATGGCAAAATATTTACTAAAAATACTCTAAAACAAGTCTATCTCGCCCGGCCGCTACAGAATACTTTGACCAGGCACAGCTAACTGTGTTAAAAGTTGGATAAAAATAAATATTTAAAAAAAAATTAAATTAAATTTTTGGTTTTGGATTAAGCAGACTTTTGGATTACCAATGTTCGGATTATCGGGACTCCACTGTAATATTTTTTAAGAATTTTATTATCGCTATTAGCCTAAACACCTACAAGATTCAGATTCCTACAAATGATAAATGAGGATGTTAGCAGAAGTGCTACAAATTTTAGTAGGAAACATGGACTTAACTTTGTGATCATTGCAGTGGAAAGATCTCCAAGGCCAAATAAATCTGGTACGTCAATGACATTAATCGATGTTTCCATAAAAGTCAAGTGATTTAGAATAATAGCCTATGAAAATATCCAAGAAACCCTTACTAACATTTTTATTGAAGGCATTTAATTATTATTCAAATATAGCTAAGGGAAACAAAAACCAACTGAACAACATAAGGTCTTTAACTCTGCATTTTGTTAGGTAATTATAATTAACGTTATTGCGACTAAACAAAAATATAATACGCCAATTGAACAAATAAAATTGTGACAGGCAATCAATAACGAAGATAAACATGGACAACCAAGTCAGTAAATGTTTGTAGAAAACATTAAAAAGCAGTACCAGGTTATGAAATATGATAAAATATTTACAGGAAATGTTGGTTACTGTTAAGGTAAACGCACCAGTAGCTGACAGTATAAGAAACTATACGCACTTAATAATCCGTGGTTTTGAATAAATAGGAACTAAAGAGATATTACGGATTTTATGTGATTCTAAATTTAGTGTAGTTTTCAAATTTGTCATACAAAAAGGGTTTTTTAAATATATTTTATAACATTTTTAAACTTAATTCAACCTTTGTACGTGTTCCAGTGGCTGACAGTGAAAAAAGTGCTTGTACCAGTAGCTGACAGTCAGTTGTCCCAGTAGCTGACACTGGAACTTAAATGTATTAGCTGCTAAACCTAAAGGTTTTATAATTTATAAGACGAATAAAATCTAACTTAATAATTAAATTATAAAATCACATAAAACGTTATTAAGAAAATTTATTTTACATATTTTAAAATAAATAATATTTACATTAAAATATATATACAGGGTGACAAAAAAGTCTGGAAACGGCTTGATATCTTTTTAACTAAATTCGTTTGAAAATTCAAACTTTTCACATCAACTTATATGTATGATAACTACTTTTTGCAAGCATTACCATTTTTTGACCTCTACCAGGGGACGACCCATGAGGAGTAGGTACATAATCTTTGATGTAAGCATAGGTTGATATGCACATCATTTTAAAGGTCTGGTCCAGTGGAGTTCATTGCCGGAAACCGCGTCAAAAAAGGTTCATCCGTTACAAAATGGCGGCTGTCCAAAGTTCTTGCGGAATATACCTGCAGAGGCCTTAGTATTGGTAAATACTCATATTCAACATTAGCCGGGAAATCTGAAACTCGGTTAAATTTGTTTTGAAGATTTTATAATATTAATCTATGAGCTAGTTGACTTAAAAATACAGTTTCAGCTCTCAAGCTAATGTTTAATACGAGTATTTACCAATACTAAGGCCTGTGCGGGTATATTCCACAAGAACTTTGGACAGCCGCCATTTTGTAACGGATGAACCTTTTTTGACGCAGTTTCTGGCAATGAACTCCACTTGACCAGACCTTTAAAATGATGTGCATATCAACATATGCTTACATTAAAGATTATGTACCTACTCCTCGTAGGCCGTCCCCTGGTAGAGGTAAAAAAATGATAATGCTTGGAAAAAGTAGTTTTCATACATGTAAGTTGATGTGAAAGGTTTGAATTTTCTAACGGATTTATTTAAAAAGATATTAAACCGTTTCCAGACTTGTTTGTCACCCTGTATATATTTTATATATATTTTTAAAAAATATACATTTTTTAAGATAATTTGGCTTATAAATTAAAAAATTAAAATCATTTTATAAAAATGTGAGATCACATAAATTATAAATAGCATGCAAATTTCGATGGGTGAAACCAATTTAATATTGTGCAAGTAGCAAATATCCCCTGTCAGCTAGTGGAACTTGTATGGCTTTTGTGTACCAAAGCCTGACATTGATATAATTTTAATTCTAAAACCCCTAACGCCCCAATTTTTTCATGAAATTGTCAACAAAGGTATAATTGATAAAAATAATGAGCCTAATCATTAATACTATTTAACCCTTTGGGTCCCAAGCATTATGTTAATTTTGTATCAGAGGTGACCCAGACCACTAGTTGTGTTGTCACACCAGATGACCCAGTTACTCTATGCACACTATACCCCAGAATCCCAAGCCATTTTCAGCTGTTTTGTACTATTATCAAATAAATATTCATAACTCACCTTAGAAAGCAGCTAGAGTTATAATTTTTTTTTTATCTTTTAGCTAATAGAATCTTCTTTAACAATGATAAGTAAAATTTTAAAAATATATGAATAAATATATATATATATACAATTTATATGTATGAACGGCCTAATATTTTCTCAAATTTTCATTTTGTAACCCATAAAAAGAATATTAGCTGTATTTTTTTCCCTATAAGTTTATTATTTTATTAAATACCACTAAATTAAGAACATATTGTGAAAGTTTTAGCAAAAAATAATAATAAATAAGTATTTTTATTTATAAAAATAAAAAACGTTACTTTTTTGCCGAAATCGACATATGACAAAAAAAAACACATAAAGTAATTATAAAACCCAAGTTTATTAAATATTTACCACATACTACAGAAATACTTTTACAATAACATTTCTACATGCATTTATAAGCCTGGATCTATTTACAGTAATTAAAAATAAGTATCATGCAAGAAATAAAAAGGTAAAATGAAGTCTCTCACCTATACCACACTGAGAACACTGAGAAGCTACTGAGAAGAATAGTGAGAAGAATGTGAAAGCAGTTCATTATATGCACATCTTTCTTATGTTATAATGTTTTCTGTTAATCAATTGAAATAAAACATTTAGAAATAACACATTTAGAGCAAAATCTCTTTACATATTTACATTTTTTATGGAACGGCTCATATATTTACATTTGTGTCGAGGAAGACAGTCCACCTATTTCATCTATTTTAGACACTGAGAAGAATGTGAAAGCAGTTCATTTTATGCACATC